TAGTTCGGATTAACTTTAAACTGCTGCGTGTAGCCGTGGGCAGTTCGTTCGAACTAAGGGGGATTTAAAAATGGCGCCCGGACGGGAACATGCAAATAAAGCCTGGGATATTTAAATCACGGGCTTCATTTGCAACTCCGGTTGCCTGATTTGCCTACCTAGCTCGAATTAACGAGCTAGTGTAGACATACCCTCAGAGTTATTGTTTCAGGCTTTCGGTTGTCATCCCTCCATCAATTTATACCTGGTCTGCTTTGTCAAGGCCATTCCTGTAACCTGAAGCACTGGTGTGGTGGCTGCCATAGCAGGGGTTTACTTAAAAAACAAGAAATAATCGGGTAGCACTTTAAAGACTAACAAAACATGTAGATGGTATCATGAGCTTTCGTGGGCACAACCCATTTCTTCAGATGACCAGAGTGCTGGAAGTCCGGAACCAAGAATAAATAAGGATAGTGGGGGAGAGGGGGAAAATTGGAGGAGGGGGAAAAAAGGACATTGGGTAGATAAGTTTCAAAGGGACAGCCGAGCCAGTCTGTAACAGGAAAAACTTAAAAAACAACAAATAGTCAGTCAGCACCTCAAAGAATACATAGTTAAAAGAGGCTGGTAAGAACCATTAGTTTGCACTAGGAAAGGAAGAGTACTAACACCAGATTCTACGCAGACATTGGCACCTTCATTGTTTGGTTTGTTGATAATGTGCGAGCCATCCGATATCACGATTTAGACCATTTGCATGAGAGTTAAACTTGAGAATGAAGTGGAGTTCCAATCCTTCTCTTGTGGAATTGGTCTGAAACAAAACAGCAACTTGTAGATCCCTTGATGAGGGTCCAAGGAGGTTAAAGTTTTCCCCAATGGCAGGGATTGAACCTCCAGAGCTACAGTTGGAAGCTGGTAGTGAGTGAGCTAAAGCTCTGTAGGTAGTACTGCTACCTAGTCCTCTTTGGTGGAGTGCCATAGATGGGGCCTACACACACTCATCATGGTTACCATACAAAAAGGTTTGATTTTCAGTGAAAGCAGAGTCTCTGAAGCACAACTCTGCAGCAAAGGGATATTCCGTGGCAAATTCTGTGTCGGTGAAGCCTGGAAGATGCAGGACTGATCAGCGCAGTTCTCTCGCAACTATCTATCTTCCAACTTTCATGTCCATGCACTAGGTCACGAGACCTAGGCTCGGTGTGCGTCTCTGCCACAAATGCATCTCTCTCTGCCTCAGTTCCTCTGGCACATCTAGGGAACATTAATGTTCCCCTGCCCCAGAGGGGTGTTGTGGTGGTAAATTCATTGCTGTTAGCACGGAGCTCAGATAGTGCACTGGTGGGGCCCAGAGAAGGCAACTAGGCAGTTAAAGATGGGTCAGATTTTGAGAAGTGTTCAGCACCTGATGTTTTGGGCTCTTTAGAAAAATCCAGATGTGTATTTTGGTATCTGTGGGGGTGCTGTGCTGGTCTCAGATCCACCCCGCAGTGCCTATAGGAGCTATACTGGACTCCTGCCTGGAACATCATGTCAGAACCCAGGCCATACTTTGGCTTTCCTGGGTCACCACAAGGGAATCCTGGCCAGCATGGGAATCTCCTGCAGGGGGCATGCAACATGGGTTAAAAGATCCCTGCCTATCTCATGGCGGGGCAGGGTCTATAAGGAGAGGCAAGCTGAGGGAGGAAGGTGTGTTCTCTTTCTCACTTGTGGCTTGAGGCAGGGAAATGCTTTGGGGGGGATTTAACCAGCATTTTCAATGGAGATGAATGTTTTAATTTGTTATGTTTTGCCCATTGTTCAAAGACCCTTAAAAAGGCCTCAGGTGTGGAGCTTGCTTTCCTTCCCTTGCCGGAGAAAGAGCCTACCAGCCTTTGGAGCACTAAAGGACTTATCTGCTCTGCCCCATTGTGTGCATATATGAAGCCCCCTCATCTCATTTTGAATGCAAGTGCTTCGAAAAATTGCTGCCTAGGCACAACTGTATTTTCCTAAAACTCCACCACTGCCCAATGACATCTAAACAGATAGCGAGGGATTATTGTTTTGAGTCAGGAGAGTTTTGGCTGGGCAGCGATAATCTCTCTTGTGCCCAAACATTTTGTATTTTTGTATTCTGGTACACTGGACTCGCTATAACGAGCTGCGTCAAGTCAACCCCAAACACCTTCTGCTTATCCTCAAGTAACCTGCCACCTGGTATTCAGAACGGGACCCTTCACGACATCAGCAGACAACAACTCTGTGATGATGGACAGTCACTTTGTAGCCAAACTATCGTGGTAACCAGTGCTTTTTTTGTGACAGTACTGCCCCCACCGCCTTTTTTTTTCTCAACAACTTTTCCCCTGGAGTGCCGGCACCCTTTTTTTTACAAAAAAAAAAAAGCACTGGTGGTAACCATGCCTTTATGCCCAGGTGCATTGTGTCTGATCAGCGGTACAAGGCATCTGGTCTCAGAGAACAAGGTCTAAGTTAAGCAGCAATGACAACACAATTAAATGAGGTGAACACTGAGATCATGAGTAGTAATATAGGAATTGCCAAACTGGACCAGACCTGTGGTATGTCTACTCCTGTGTCCTGTCCTGCTTTTGTCATAATCTTGTGCCAGATGCTTCAGAGGAAGTCATAAGAACCCCACAAAAGACAGATGTGGGCTAATCTGCCCTCTACATTAAGTCTCTTCCTGATCTCTAATAGTTATAGATGATTTAAGCCCTGAAGGATGTAAGTTAATACACAAAATCCTCTTCTGCAAAAAGAACCGGAAGAGAATATGCAAATGAGAGCACGAGATTTGCAAATGAATGCTTCATTTGCATTTCCGATTCCAAAAAAACAGACAGTGTAGATGTAGCTTCAATGTGAATGCATTACCTTGGCTTAGAGCCCCACGAAGTACTGAGGAGTGATTACTTTGAATGACTCTGGATAATAGTTATTTCACAATAGCAGCAGTGCAGCATCCGTACAACCACTATTTCGAAATAACTATTTTGAAAAAAGCATTATTCCTCATGGAAAGCAGGAGTTATTGTTTTGAAATAACCAGCCCCTTATTTTGAAATAACGGGCTTGGTAGTGTGGATGCTCTGCTTGTTATTTCAAAAAAAGGGGGATGTAGAGCAGGGCTGATACAAAATCCAAATGATAACTCTCTTTGCACTAATAAATAACCGTCTATAAGTGAAAGCAGTTTGGAGTCAGGCCCTAGAAGTGTAATTAAAGGAATGCTATTGATTTAAATTGGGTGATGTTGTATAAGTTGAGTGTATAGTAGTAAAAAAATAAGCTTTACCAAATTATTATTTATTATTTTCATTTATAATAAAAATGATTGCTTTAAAAGAAGCACTCATCTCCCTGTGGTGTTTGAACAGCAATGCTGCGGCCTTTAGGCCCTGGCAGGGAGAGGGTCTGCGAATGGAAAGTCATTGCTTTTTGTCCAGCCTGAGAGAAATGGCATCAAATAAAGAGCATAATCATGACAAGAAGGTTCCATTTGTAAGAATTCCTTCAGTCCTGCTATCCCCAGGTGTTCGTAGTAGCTAAGGTGAGGAAACCTGCTGGACTGTGACAGGTGGGCTACATCTACACTGGCATGATTTTCGGGAAATGCTTTTAATGGAAAAGTTTTCAATTAAAAACATTTTTGGAAAAGCGCGTCTAGATTGGCACGGACGCTTTTCCACAAAACCACTTTTTGCAGAAAAGCGTCCGTGGCCAATCTAGACGCGCTTTTGCGCAAAAAAGCCCCGATCGCCATTTTCACGATCGGGGCTTTTTTGCGGAAAACAAATCTCAGCTGTCTACACTGGCCCTTTTGTGCAAAAGTTTTTCGGAAAAAGACTTTTGCCCTAACGGGAGCAGCATAGTATTTCCGCAAAAACACTGACAATCTTACATGAGATCGTCAGTGCTTCTGTGGAAATTCAAGCGGCCAGTGTAGACAGCTGACAAGTTTTTCCAGAAAAGTGGCTGCTTTTCCGGAAAAAGTGGCCAGTCTAGACACAGCCGTGGTGTTTTGAAATGGTGGTGTCACTTTGAAAACAGAATAAAAAACAAGAGAGAGAAAACATTGACCAAGCCACTGATTCTGTTTTCTTCCAAAGCAACTGGAAAAATGGGGGAAACATTGCCCCATTAGAGGTTCAGGGTTCAACATTTGCAGGGTCTTCCCTGGACTGGTCTGCACGTTGCCTACGTGCCCAATCCAAGCTGCGAGCCAACTTAGTCTGGATTTGCCTGACAGCGTATGGGCTCTGCAATGGGCTTGTGTACTCCAGGGACCCTGCGCTGTGTCTGGGCAATCTACCCTAAAGGAGCCAATCGTGCAACTTGCTCCTGTCTGATTGCCGGCTGGCTTGTGCTGTATTTGTGTTGCTTGCATCTTTTAGGGAAAGGCTCAGGAAAAACTGGATGCCTGGGCTGGAGATTGAGCGTGGGGTTGCTCAGCTTTATTAATCTTCCCCTTCTGCTCTTTGGCCTTCAGGAGAATCCTTGAGCTTCGCTGATGATTTGCTCTCCGGACTTGGAACTTCCTGCGTGGCAGCTGGCAGAAGCCATGGCGAGGTCCCAGAAACCAGCCTTTATTCGGTCATTTTCAAGTGCCTGGAACCGGATGGCCTATACAAGTAAGGGAATGATGGACCTGGGACAGGATGGAGAGGAGGGTTGGGAAGTAGCATAGGGTATGTCTACACTGCACAGCTATTTCAGGATAAGCTGTTCCAGAATAGTTATTCCAAAATAGCTTATTTTGAAATAGCACGTCCACACTGCAAGGAAGCCTCAAAATTAGCCCAAGGGAGGCTTCCCTAATGTAGACCTGCTATCTCGATTTACAGCCCTAAGAAGCACTGGGGAGGAATAACTCAGAATGGCTCTGGTGAGGGGCTATTTCGAAGCAGCAGCAGTGGAGCATCTACAGATGCCTTATTCGAAATAGTTATTTCAGAATAGGCATTATTCCTCATAGAATGAGGTTTACAGGTTTCAGAATAAGCCAAATTATTTCAAAATAACGGAATGACTGTGTAGATACTCACATTGTTATTTCGAAATAACGATGCAAAGTAGATGAAGCCATACAGTGTAGTTGTTCTTTAACATCTCTATTGCAGCAGTGCCTGGAGGGATGTATCCTGGCAGGGCCCCGTTGCGGCCAGTGCTGTGGTACACAGATAGGTTTGTTTGGTGCATGTGTCTTGACTATGTGTTAGAAGCTGAGACAGGTTCAGTCCATGAAACTGAGGTCCAGCTGGTCCACGTTGGACATACTTCTGCTGCTTGGATTTGGGGGTTTGGTACGATTCCATCAATGGGGAAGTGGCATGTCATCCCCCCTTTCCGATCTCGTGTGCATGATGGGATGTGGTCTGCCTCATTCTCATGAGCTGAGCCAGTGAAGGGAGGGCAAAGTAACCTGCTTTCTCTGACCAGCAAAGTTCCTAATGGACAAATGGCAGGCAGCCAGGCACGCTGATACAGCAGCCTCAGAATCATTTGCAGCTGTGCACATTGCTATCTACACATGCTCGTGTTTACTGTGGTACGGAAGGTGGCAGGTCTGAGATCGAGCTGGCGTCTGGATAACAATACCTTGAAACTTGTGCTATTGCCCTTGCCCACTCGGCTCATCTGAGCTATCAGTGGCTTTTCACACACAAGAAAATGCATGTTTCTGTTTTAACAGCAGAAGGCCACCTTTCAGAGCAGTAGTGCAGTAATTCCAACAGCAGCACGTTGAATCCTTTTCTAATACACATTAGGACCCTGTTCTCTCTTACCTCAGTAGGAATCAGCTGCAACGCCATTGGAGACAATGGAGTTACACTGGTCTGAAACCAGCATCAGGGAGATTGGAATCTGATCCTGGGGGGTGGTTCTTAAAGGCAGCTGGTGATTTTGTGTCCTTGCCAGATTCTCCCCTCTCTGTTTCCCCCTTTAGCCAGCAGAGCAGCCAGGGGTGGTATTATGAACATTGCAGCATGACTTTGAGGCCTGTGTGCTAAGCACTGTGAAAACACGCCAGGAGGGACACGTTCCACCTTGAAGTGTTTCCAATCCAAGGAGGCAAAGGAAGTGTCATTGTCTCCATTGTTACTGAGCGGGCACTGCGGTGCAGAAAGACGCGGTGACTTGTCCAAGGTCACACAGGCCTGGTTCCCATGTCGGTGCTTTAAAACCACAACACCACCTTCCTCACGCCTGTGCTTTCCATGTGCTGCATCCCCCTGGGTGGCTCAGTCAGCATGCAGGGGAGAGAGAAACACCCCAGCCTTAGCGTCCGAGCGGCTGCAATAATTAAAACACATTTTGTAGTGAGTAATGAAACTTTTTATGGGACCACAAAGGCAGTTAACTTGAGAGCTGGCAAATGGACTGTCAACGAGAACTTTTTAAGATCTTGATTAATACTTTCCCTTCACCTCCTCCTCCTCCCTCTTCCTCCCTCCCGCCCCCCATTAAATACATTGACAACCTCCAAGGAGGGAAGAGCTTTTATTGCATAACTCTGGTGCTGTGCCGCGTCTGGGAGCAGGCTCAAAATGGTACTTGCCATTGAATAACTGTAAGTGTTTCCTTCTTAAAATATAGTTAGGTCTGTAGAATAATTATTAATATCACTGGGAATTGGGCTGTTTTGAGGAGATGCCTGGAAGAGTCTGGAACAGAGCTGGCTAATAATTTGCCTCCAGTAAAATCCAGTCACTTGCGAACTATTGGCAACTGGGTGCGTGGTTGTCAAAAGGGAGGAGCAATTCTTTTGCCCTTCCAGTCTCTGGAGAGGCTAATGTTGAGGGTAAAGCATTTAGCTTGAGCCAGGAGAATTGGGTCCTGGGTCCAACTCTGTCATAGGTGCCCTGTATGAACTGCCACGCCACCTCTGTGACTCAGTTTCCCCATTTGCAAAATAGAGGTCTGAGCCTTCCCTGCCTCCCAGACGGTGGTGTGACAATTCACCAGTATTTATAAAGGGCTGGAGGATTCTCAAGCTGAAGGTACAAAGCTTTATCATATGTCCAGCGGCATGTAGGCAAAGGGTTGTCCTCTCCTTGCGCCAAAGGCGCCTCTCTGCTGCACAACTCTGAGTCCCGTAGCAGTGGAGGTGGGCAGAGGTGGCCCTCAATCAGCACACAGCCAGCAGCATCCCTGCCAGCTCTCTCAGGCAGAGTATGTGTTCACTGGCAAGGGGTGATGTCTGGGTGGACTGGGGGAGCTGCTGCTCTGTGCAGTCTGCCTCCAGGGGAAGCTGACCTCAGAGCTTGCTGTCTACAATACTGCTGCAGCCTTACGTGCCAAAAGCCTGATCCATGGGCTTGGAATGCAGCCAAGCATGGAAAGCAGGCGGCCTGGGGGAGATAGCAGGTGTTCTGGGAGCACAGGTGGAGTTTGAGAGGCACGTGGAGAATGGTCAGCTCCATGTATCTGCCTAAGGCTCTGCGGGGCTTGGCATCCATTTCTCAGGGTTCCCAGAATGCCACGTGCATGCGAGAACCTGCGCAGAGATGCTAGCATTTATGCATGTACACTGGTCCACACACACAGAGAAAGAGCCCGGTATTCACACGCTGGTGCATGCATACCTGAGTACACACCTGCACCTGCCAGTCACCAGAGATATTCTCATGCACTAGGTGTGTACATACACACATACACACGCACACACAAACACAAACACAAACACACTAATGACTGCTTTCTGCAGACATCCATACAGCTGCGACCCAAAGCTCAGATAGTCAGGACAGAGACACGGGAGGCTAACGCTCCACTCTGACCCCATGAAGACACAACTAAAACAAAACCCCAGGCCCCAAGTTGGGTTGATATTGATTTTTGTTACATTTGTTTGTGTGTTTGAGGGAAAATCTCTTTCTTGGAAGTCTCTAAAATGGGTAGACTCCCATTTGCAGCAATTCAGTAGGGAGCTGCGATTGATTTCAGCCCGTCAGGTGACAGCACACATGCTGTGTTGAATCCGTGCTTTTTTGAAAGGCAAACTCTTTTGCCCTCTGCATAGTTGGAAGGTATCACCTAAGGAGAGAGACAGGCCTGTAAGATCACGCGGAGCTGATCAAATCCCTAAATGTGGCTCTGACATCGGGTCCATTTGCCTTTTCCTTCTGAGTCACCTAACGCAATTAGGCGACGCTACTGACCAAAAGCTCAGCACATTCCCATCCTGAGATCATAGCCAAGGTTCAGGTTTTTAAGAAAAACAACATCTCCAAGTAAACAAGCTAATTGATTTTTCTGTGTTTGAGGTTTCTGTAATTCAAACAAATAAACTATCAAATGCAGAGCTAATTTTTACATCACTCTTCATTTTCAGTTTGACAAGAACAATTTGCCTATGCTGCTTTGCCTGCAAAACATTTGGGGTTGTGACATCAATCCTGCAGCACGAAACTGTATCATGGAAGAGCAGATATATTACACACATGCCTGCCTGTTAGCAGGCAAGTGCACCTGCACACAGATATTTGCATACAAACATGCACATGGGTGCACACTCAGAGGCATGCATGTACACACAAGTCCATCTGCAAACATGGGACAAGCCACTGAAAAATACACCGTGGTATTGCTCGTGGGTGTATTTGAAGAATACTGCATTTGATGTATGCCCCTTAAAAGAGAGAAATGAACTAAATGTACTGCTGGCAAAATGTGCCATGAGCAAGAATTCCTCTCCCCAGAGAACAGCTAGAACTTAGGCAACTCACTCACTCCTCCAAGACTGGTCTGGCAAGAGGCACCTCCATGTCTGTTCAGTCCTTGGCTGCTGCTGAGACAAAGGGGGTCATTAGTGCCAATTATACAGATGGATTTGTGATAGGGCTGAGACCTGTAACTCATTGCAGATCGCCCACTAAGTGGGAAGGGCTCTGTATTGTTTCTAGCCAAGTATCAGCCTCCCGGGCCAGCGCCCATAACCCAACCCCAGAGAGTGCACCAGCTCCCTTTACTCACCTCTACTCCTAAATGGGACTGGTTGGGTTGTCTCCTTTGGCACCCTGCAGCCTCGCTGCCCCTGCCACCAGACTCCCCTTCTCCTCTCCTTACCTAGCTGCTCTCTGAGCCCTTGGGACGCCTGTTTACTGAGCTGTGAAAGCCGCCCGCATGCAAGCGCTGTACCTGCTCGGCCGCTGGAGAGCAGGCTGGCCAGCCCCGCATGTTTATTGCAGAGCGCTTGGGGAGGAGCCACTAGCTGGGGGAGAGGATGAAACCCCTTCTGGCGCGTCGATAGATCAGTTCCGTAAGGGCAGGAGCAGCTCCGGACACTCTTCCCTCCACCACAGATACTATAATGATAGATTAGATTCAATCCCAATGTTTCACTTTATTTACATTCCTGACCTAGCCTATTCATTTCCGGTGTTTGTGCCAAGAATCAGCACAAAACTTACTGGAAACAATATGGAAGTCATTAGGAGCCCCTTCAGAGCCTCTTCCTTGGAGCAGTCCTTGTGCCAAGACGGAGCTTCCAGCCTCCTGCTGAGTTTGCGTTCCCCCTCGCCACACCAGATCGGCCACCATGGTGTGTCGCTGACCTGCCCCGAGGCCTCTCACATGTGTTAGAGAGGTCATGGGGAAAGAGGTCGCACCATGCATCATCACCTCATGGAGACAGGAACTTGGAAGCTAGAGGAAATGGCTCATTGCGTCTCTAGCTCTTGATGGGGAGCTGCGGAAGAAAGGCCAGTTCCCTTGGATGGAAATGAATTATAGCCATGTGACTAGTCAGCCCTCAGAGCAGCAATAAACTCTGCGGCCTGGGCCTGCAGCCCACAGCCAGCAAACCTTGCCTGGCCCAGAGCAGCTCTGTCTCCAGTGCAGCTAGGCTCAGCCCGTGCAACCTGTGTACGGCTTCCTGCTCTTTATACGCACCTCTCTGCACCCTGTGAGCCTGCCAAGGAGGGCGAACGCCTGCTGCTCTTCAGCAGTGGCCATTGTTGTGTGGGTGGATCGGAAAGACACGTGTGCGAGCTCATAGCCAGCAGCAGCAGATCCTCAGTGGCCCTGTCGACCCTTCAAGCGAGGAGTGGATGCCCAGCCATCATTGCTGCACTGGTTCAATAGCAGGCTCCTGCAGGCAGTGGCAAATTGTGCCAAGTCCATAATCGTGGGGTTTAGGCAGGTTTGGCTGAGCGGTGTGACCGCAGCTCTCCTGCTACCCGCCCTTGTTCCCGTCGGGCACATCTGTGTGAGCAGGGACTCACCCCAGCTCATAGTGCAGATGTAGCTGAAGACTTGGTGGAACGGGTTGAACACAGTCCTGGCTGAGCGCCTGCATGTGGACAATCATCGGGCTGCTAAACTGGCTCCCGCTATTGGATCCCATGTGCTTTCAAGTCTCTGGAGTCGGCGCAGCATCCATCACTGTCCCTTTATCAAGCCTTTGACACATACACCTGGAGTACTGACGCCCTGCGTGGCACCTTTCGCAGGAGGTGGGATCCTCAAATCCTCTGTCCTGGGCCCAAGATCAGCACTGACTTCTCAAGTCACCCCAGTAGCGTATTCATGCCGCCTTCAGAGCATGACCCGCACTGGCATTCTGGGCTGCAGTCCCACCCTTCCGGGGGGCAAGTAACATACGAACATTGTAAAGGCAAAGGCACGTCTGGACCACACACATTTCACCCAGAGCCCATATCAGCAGTGGGGGCAAAGGCTGTGATTCCCTGCCCGAAGTGATGGGCTCACGTCAGCACTCGTCAAGGGAGCTCATTGCAAATAGCAGCACAGTTTTGGTAGCCTGAGCAGCCATGGCACAGGTTGGTTGCCCTGAGTCCAACCTGCCTGAGCCCTGTGGGGACGTACAGGGGGCAGCTAGCCCAAACCACTCTTCAATCTGCCACAGAAGGAAGTTTTGAGCTACTGTGACGAGCACCAGCATGAGTGGGTCCATTCAAGCGGGGAATCACGCTTCCAGCTCCAAGTGAAGACATAACGGCACACTCAGCACAAGAGATCTATGGAAAAATAATAAACATCTGCACACAAAACCCTCCTCTAGGTTCTTCACCCTTAGAATCATAGAATCCCAGGGCTGGAAGAGCCCTCAGGAGGTTGTCGAGTCCAGCCCCCTGTCCAAAGCAGGACCCATCCCAACTCAATCATCCCAGCCAGGGCTTTGTCAAGCTGGGACTTAAAAATCTCTAGGGATGGAGATTCCACCTCCTCAGGGAACCCATCCCAGTGCTTCACCACCCTCCTAGTGAAATAGTTTTTCCTAATATCCAGCATAGACCTCTCCTATTGTAACTTGAGATCATTGCTCCTCATTCTGTCATCTGCCATCAAAGAGAACAGCCTCTCTTCATCCTCTTTGGAACCCCCCTTCAGGTAGTTGAAGGCTGCTTTCAAATCCCTCCTCAATCTTCTCTTCTTTAGATAAATAAGCCCAAATCCTTATTGAGAGCTGATAGAGTCTTTTAGATAAATAAGCCCAAATCCTTATTGAGTCTTAATAGAGTCTTAGCCTGCGTCTACACTGGCATGATTTTGCGCAAATACTTTTAATGGAAATGTTTTTCTGTTAAAAATATATGCGCAAGAGAGCGTCTATACTGGCATGTGCTTTTGCGCAAAAGCATCCGTGCCAGTGTAGATGCTCTCTTGTGCAAGAAAGCTCCAATGGCCATTTTAGCCATCGGGCTTTCTTGCAGAAGAAATTGATGTTACCTGTCTACACTGGCCTCTTGCACAAGAACACTTGCGCAAGAGGACTTATCCCTCAGTGGGAGCGTCAGAGTATTTGTGCAAGAAGCACTGATTTTGTACATTACAACGTCAGTGTTCTTGTGCAAATCCTCGTGGCCAGTGTAGACAGGCGGCAAGATTTTGCGCAAAATCTTGCCAATGTAGACACAGCCTTAGCGTCTTCTATGGAGGTCAGTAATCTTCTGTTCTCTCTCATCTCCCACTCTCATCTTTTGGTGTTGGTTTGCTCACCCTTGCTAGAGAGTCTCTTAAGCAGCAGTTTCTAACACCTTTGTCTTCTCCTCCTGTGCCTCTGTCTCCTCTTCCCCTCTTTCTCCAATCTCACTGTGTTTGTCACAACAGACAGTCATTCACAAGTCCATAGTCTTTTGCCAGTTGTCACCCCTTGGACTTGGCTAAAACAGAAACAGCTCTGTTGTGCCTCCACTGGATACATGGTCAGCTCTGGAGACTAGGGATGTAAAATGGTGTTTAATCAGTTAATAGATTAGTTGATTAGTTGATAAAGGGGGAAACTGCAGAGCTGCAGCGGAGATAGCTCCTGGCCCCAAGAGCTAACCCCCCAGAGGTTCTTCCTACATTTAAAAGACTGAAGTGCAGCAGGTGGCATGAGCTGGGACAGCTGATTCCTGCTTTGCACCTAGTCCCCTGCTACCCCTCTGCCTCCCTTGCCCCCCCTGCAAAGATGGTGCTGTTGGGGGAACCGGCTTTTAAGCCAGCTCCCCTCAGCACTGGCTCCTGCTCTCACCCTTGCTGCCTGTTTCTGATAGAGGCAGCAAGGTGAGGGGATGTAACTAGTTGCGTCACTAGTTGACTATCCAGTAAGCATATGCTTATCAGGTTGTCGACTAGTCACTTACATCCCTACTGGACACCGGGTGTTATTTACTAAGTGTCGCTAATTGAGCTAGGTGACAGGAATATGTAGAGGCTAAGTCCAGCTCTCAATCGACGGGCATCCACATTGCCTACTAAAATATTACTGCAATGAGCATTAATGGAAGAAGGGCCCAGGACTGAATGGACCATGACATCCCCTCTCACTGGTAAAGAAGATGCCCCCCAGGTTGGGGAGAAGGTTGGGCTGCCACTGCCTGGACTGTCCATATCATGATGACTCCCAGAGGCAACTTCCAAGCCTTGCTTCTTTCATTAGCATTAAAGGATTCAGAAATGGAGACTGTGTGAAAGAAAGGAAGGTGCTTCCCTCCATACCAGGACAACCAACAGGCTGGGCTGCTTCCCTCTTCTCTCCCCACCCGTCACTCTGCCTCTTGAGGATGGACTTGTCCTGTCCAGGCATAGCGGGGTCGTCTGACTAGAGGCCCCATCCCTGTGTCTCAGCATGCATGGGTAGCAGTGCAGCCTCCCCAAAGCAAGACCTTTTTCCAGTATTACCTGGACTTTAATGAAGTTCAGATTCAGCGCTCGTCTTCCCTGCAGCTGGGTAGTATGGCATGCTATGGAAGAGGCAGTGTAGTGTAGTGGTTAGGGTGCTGGCTCAGGAGACATAGCTTCTGACCCCAGATTTGCTGTGTGATCTTCAGATAATTGTTTCCTAGCTCTGATGAAGTGGGTCTTTGCCCACGAAAGCTTGTGCTCCAACACTTCAGATAGTCTATAAGGTGCCACAGGACTCCTTGCCGATTTTGCAGATTCTGACTAACACGGCTACCCCTCTGATACTTGTTTCCTAGCTCGTTCCCTTTCCTGTGCCTGTCTTCTCTTTTAACTTGTAAGATCCTCTGGTTGCCTCTGAGTGCCCCTGACTTGGACAGCTGGGCAGGTCTTGTCTCCTTTGGGAAAGGCAAAATTTCTCTCCTTCCCGCCCTCCCTCCCCCATTTCTGGCTATATCCCACACTGTAAACAGAGCAAGCATTATAGATTCCCCCCACGCCCAGCCTCTTTCCAACCTTTCCTCAAGATGTCAGGAATGAAATAACATTCTTTGCATTTTTGTTATGAAGCTCCTGGCATCTGATCTGTAGACCCCCAGCCATCTTGGGGCTTATTTGCATGGGTCCATTGGGGTCGGCTGGAGGAGGGAAGTGAGATAGGAAAGTTGTGGGAGGAACGGGGAGGAGGTGGAATCCTCACATCATGGTGTAAGATACTGCACACGGGGAGATAAAAATGATGATTCTGCCTGGAAATGTTAATAGGAAGAGGGGTGAGGGAGATGTTGATAGGCTGATGGGGAATTGGCCTTTATTGGTTGCCTCTCTTTCCCATTGCAGATTTACTAACCCTCTTCCTCTGTGTGCTCGAAGATTATTTTCAGTTTTCTGAGCATGTAGTAACCTACTATCAGTAAATAGGTTTTTTCTAAGCTTATCTCTCTGATTTCAGCGGAAGAGACAGTGCAAGAGACCCAGGGAGCTGCAGAAATAAACACAGAGATGTTACTGGCTTTGCTCTGGGTCTAAGTCAGCAAAAGCTTCTTTGTGCTCCTAAGTCCCACACATTTGCCTTTCTGTTGATTCTCTGAACTGTACAGCACCTTTCTCCTAGAGATCTTAATGCCCAGGACAAATGTTACTTAACTCTCAGAGTAGCTCTGAGGTTTGATCTCCCCACCCCTTTACGGAATATGTGTAACTCACTCATTTTTCAGGTGCATACTGCAGTGGAGAGCTGGCTCCCTACACAGCTGGGAAGTGGTATTTGTATTAGCCATTTCACAGGTGGGAAAATTGAGGCAGACAGGAAAATACTGTTGGCCAGTGTAGACAGGCGGCAAGATTTTGCGCAAAATCTTGCCAATGTAGACACAGCCTTAGCGTCTTCTATGGAGGTCAGTAATCTTCTGTTCTCTCTCATCTCCCACTCTCATCTTTTGGTGTTGGTTTGCTCACCCTTGCTAGAGAGTCTCTTAAGCAGCAGTTTCTAACACCTTTGTCTTCTCCTCCTGTGCCTCTGTCTCCTCTTCCCCTCTTTCTCCAATCTCACTGTGT